TTGTGTACCTTCTCTTCATAGCACATGTAAATAGTAAAATACTGTTAAATAAAATCAGTGATCAAATTAACAGGTTCTTGGTTTTGCTTCTGTTTTGGCTAGTTTGCTTTAAAGTGAAAGTTTGAGTTTGTTAACTTCATCTTGCTATGAATGTTAACATTGAAAATCCTGGAAATAAAATTCAATTGAACATTTATCAAGTGCTTACTATATTAAAGAGAAGATGCACTTACAAAGTTTGCACAAAATACACACAGAGCTAGCCCCCTTCTCCATGTTTTACTGCTTCATAACTTTTTATATACAGTAGGTCGTCGGGTTACGTCGGAGATCCGTTCCTACGGTGACGTAACACGATTTTCGCTGTCAGTCGAACCCACCTACATAAGCACCTACGTCACTCACATGGAGCACAGACACAGCAGTAATGAAGTGAAACAGTAAAAAAAAATTTTACAGAAAGATAACAATTCCTGACCTTTACTTGTGGTAAATAAATAATAAAAACATAAAGCACATACGTACATATGTCGAAATGATGGAATTATTTTTTTATGTAAATGGGAGATGGCGATGTAACCACAAAACAATGTACATCGAGTGCGACGTAACCCAAGGACTGTCTGTAATTGTTTCTACTCTCTTCCCCATCTTCCCTTCTGACTCCACTCTAAGCTAAATGGATTTGACATGTTCATATTTTTAAGAATCTCCCTCTTCCATTTGCAAATGTGAGATTTATTTAGTAATTCATACAGTTTGCTAGTTCATAGTTTATTTCTCTAATTCAGCAGTTGCCAACCAGAAGAGATTTATTTAGTAATACATACACTTTGCTAGTTCAGAGTTTATTTCTCTAATTCAGCAGTTGCCAACCAGTGGCCCGTGAGGTCCGAAAGTTTGGCGACTGCTGGTTTAAGGAAACCTTTGGAGTGGTGGTCGCCAACCAGTGGTCCATGAGGTCTGAAAGGTTGGCACTGCTGCTAATTCAAATATTTCCTTGGATTTGATTATTGGGACTAGCAATAAGGAAACATTTCAAAGTTACTTAAGAATTTCTGGGGTTATTTCTTTAAATAAATCAACTTGCTTGATTATTTTCTTTAACCCCATGCCAAACAATGAACAAAGAAAATTTGAAAAGCACACTTTATGCCATTTATAGTGGATAATCTGAAACTATAATGATGGAGGTTAATGCCTATCAACAGACACACTTACAAATACCTCTATATGTCATAAAACAGACTTTTTGTGGCCAGAGAAAAAGCCAATTTTACATCTGAACCAGGAATTAAAGGAAGAGCTTACCACAACCTATAGAATGTTAGGGACAAATTATAGCAAAAACAGTATTTTCAGAATCCACTGAAGACTTACAAGGCAAATGGAGGTTGGAAATATGTGAGACAGGAAATCTGCCTCTCACATTTCTCCTTTTCAGTGCTGGCTGGGCCGTGGGCTAATCTCTGTGCTGGCAAGTCTTCCAATGAGATCAGGACGTGTGACAGCCATGGCTGTGGCCAGTACACTGCCCAGAGGTATGTTTACCATATGCTTTCTGGGCTCTCGACCTCTTGACCTCTTTGCTTAGTGTGCTTGCCTTATGTTTCCTCAAGTGCTCATGACCATTTCCTCTGGCAACAGGAAAACTCAGAGATGAAACCAGTTACATTACTGTCTTTGGAGCAACTTCCAAGAACTCTGCTTCAAGTATGGGCTCTGAATTGGGAACAGAGCGTGGAATAAGGAAAAGAGGAAGGGGAGCAAACAGTGTTTTCCCACATTGACTTAGTTTACCTGGTTTTTCCAAGGTGAAAATCAAGCATTACTATCCCATTTTATAGATGAGGAACTTGAACGGAGGCACCAAAGGGCTAAGGGACCTGCCAAACACAGCTGGAGGTGGTGAAAGCTGAACTAGGATTCAGGCCTTAGGATCCTTCCATCAAACCACAGTGTACTAACCCAGCCTCTGGGAGCTGAACACCAGAGGTGGCCCTAAGCAGGCAATTTATTTCAGACAATGAGGAACAGACTTGTGAATTTCCAGTAACGTACAGTATCACCTTGGGAGTACCACTCTCTGATGAAATAGCTGCGTGTCCAATTGCATTATTAACCTCCACCCCCATTACTAGTACAGTGGAACTCTCACTAGAGGCCCAGTGCATGACATTCATGCACTTGGGGGGGGCGGTTCTTTAGTCTGACCTGCGTCCTCTCGCAGTCCAGGACCTCTTGGGGGATGTCTGCCTGCTGGCTTAGGCCTGCTCCCCAAAGAGTGGGCCTAAGTCAACAGTCAGACATTCCTCTTGCAGTCTGGGGCTCTTGCATTCCAGGACCCCTCACTCCTTACCACCTGCAGCCTTAAGCCCGGCTTCTAGCTGAGCGGCACTCCCCCTCTGGGAGCACACTGACCACCAGAGAGCAGCTCCTGTGTTGAGTGTCTGCCCCCTGGTGGTCAGTGCGCATCATAGTGACCGGTCCTTCTGCCATTTGGTCGATTTGCATATAGGATACGTATTATTAGGATTAGTCTGATTTGGAATCATATTGTCCTACAATCCTTTTGGATAGGGTGATAATTTGCCCTGGGTTTCCCAGGACAGTACTTTATACCTGTTTTCCAGGATATTTATTAATAGTGCACTTTTTTTTTTTTGCTTTTTTGTGTGTCCTGGTTTGGATGATAA